CTCAAGTGAGTCTCCTGCCTCAGCCTCCCAAGTAGCTGGGACCATAGGCACCCGCCACAATGCCCGGCTATTTTTTGGTTGCAGCCATCATTGTTGTTGGCGGGCCCAGACTGGATTCGAACCCATCACCTTAGGTGTATGTGGCTGGCGCCTTAGCCACTTGAGCCACAGGCGCCAAGCTGATTCAGTAGATCTTGACATGTGGAATGATAACTGGGAATGTATTTTTTAAAAAGGTGGTTCTAATGCTCAGGTAGACTTGGGCACTGCTGATTTGAATCAAGCATTTGATTCAAGTCCTTGGACTTTCACAAGAGTGGCACCTTAAGAGTTCGTGAGTCCTTGGTACCATTATAAAATTTAATTTCAATCATTCTTTCATTTGCTTGAAAACCTTATTTTTCTGGCCAACAACCATCAATTTTTTAGTCATGTTAATGTTCATTTTATTTCTCTCACTAGCGTCTGGCCTTCTTTTCCGCTCAGTTTTAAAAATTAAGGAAGGAATCAACATAACGTCACAGGAATTGTGGCATAGGTGAGAACAAAGATCTTGAGTAGCTTAGCTGAGTGAGACTCGGCTCACTACCTAGTGCCTCACTCCTGTGGCTTTAGTGTGCCTTAACAGAATTGCAGGTTGTTACGTGTTGCAGCTCTTTTTGAGATTATTCAGAAATAGTTAAAACCAAAAATATTCAGTCACCAAATGCCAAAATCCTGAACCACTTATTGATAAGCATTTGTTGATGAGTGACCATTGTTTTGCTACAAAATATTAGAGCATGTATTAAATACACCTGAGGAGGACAGTCTTGAAGATGTGTTGGATCTCAAACTCTTGAAATTACTGCGATTGGTGATTTATAAAGATAATGAGTTAGGCTGTTTGAAATATTCTTTTAAAGTTGTTTTGAAATACCTTGTCCTTTCCTGCCTTTCATAGAATCTAAGAATATTAGAAGAGTGCTAGTGACTCCTTTTAAAGATAAAGAAATTAGAGCTTATTTAATCATCAGAGCCTGTGTGATTGGTAAATGGGAGAGCTGGGAAAGGGAGTCTTGCATCTGTGGCTCCTGAATTTTTTTCCATTGCCTTGTCCCTTTTGTTATCTTCCCTTGAACGCTAAGCTTTTTTTTTTTTTTTTGCAGTTTTTGGCTGGGGCTGGGTTTGAACCCACCACCTCTGGTTTGTGGGGCCAGTGTCCTACTCCTCCTTTGAGCCACAGGCGCTGCCCTGAACACTAAGCTTTTTATTGACTTAGCAACAATTCGTTGTTTCATACTCTGGGCTAAACTTTGTTTTCACCTTGAATAGTCTCTGTACCATGAAGTGAGTTAACTGGTAAAATTAAACTGAAAACAGCTACGCATTATTCTAACCTTTAAGGTAGGTTTAATAGTTGACCATTCCTCGTGTCAATTGGAGCTTTAATTGCTAGGAACAATTGCCAAGGCTTCAAAGTTAAATTGTGATTAATTCTTGTCAGTAAGAGCAAACCTGCGATTGTATATGAGGTTGCATTCTTATAGCCCACCTTTCTTAGTTGAGCTCCTCATCTGAATCACAGAACACAGAAAATGACTAGAGGGACTGTCTAAATTTTTCAGATGTTGCTCCATCACTAGTACTAATCGAGATGCATAGAAAGGTGCTGGGCCTGATAACTGAATCTTACTCAAATTTGTTCTGTAATATTGGCGTTTTAAGCATCTTGCTTGAATAAAAAGAATTCAAAGAGAATTTTTTTTTCTTGCACTAATAATTTATAGTTTATCATGTAGTACTTGTATTTACTATAAAGCAAGAGTTCTTTTTTTTTTTTTTTTTCCTTGAGACAGAGTCTCACTTTGTCATCCTTGGTAGAGTGCCATGGCATCCTAGCTCATCACAGCAACCTCCAACTCTTGGGCTTAAGTGATTCTCTTGCCTCAGCCTCCCAAGTAGCTGGGACTACAGGTGCTTGCCACAACACCATGCTATTTTTAAAGTTGGGGTCTTGCCCTGGCTCAGGCTGGTCTCAAATTCCTAAGCCCTGGCAGTCCACCAGCTGTGGCCTTCCAGAGCACAAGGATTACGGGCAAGAGCTTTTTGTTAGTGTCACAGAAGCAGACTCTGGGTTGTATGTGAAAAGGACTAGTTTCTTAGTAATCTCTTAGTGTTAAATTATATGAGGCAGCGCTTAAAAAAATAAAAGCAATCAATGTGTGGTCTAATTTTTCTCGTTTTTTTTTTTTTAATTAATTAATTTATTTTATTTTGAGATAGAGTCTTACTACGTTGACCTTGGTAGAATGCTGTGGTGCCATAGCTCACAGCAACCTCCAACTCTTGGGCTTCAACGATTCTCTTGCCTTAGCTTCCCAAGTAGCTGGGACTACAGGTACCTGCCACAATGCCCAGCTATTTTTGTTATTGTTGTTGCAGTTGTCATTGTTGTTTAGCTGGCCCGGGAGGCCAGGTTTGAACCCACCAGCCTTGGTGCATGTGGCCGGCGCCGTAACCACTGTGCTATGGGCGCTGATCCTTTATAGCTGAGCCAAATTTTTCTTGTTTTATAAGCATGTTTTCCCCCGGCATCTTAGTCTTTCAGAAAGACATCTTTCCACTGTGATCAGTACCAGTCAGACATAAAAACCGCTGTAATTTGGCAGCCTAGTACTGTGGAAATGTTTAGAGATTAAACCGCATTGTAGAAAAGCAATTACATTTGTAAAAATATTAGAAAATGTATTCTAACGACCATGAACTCTTAGATTTTCTACCTCCCCTGTTCTACATACGTTAAATATTTTCTATACTTGATGTTAATTTAACAATGTTAAATTTTTCTTGAAGGTTTAAGAAATCCCCTCACCATTTTGTATATTGGAGAAAGGGTTAATGCAAGGACCCACTCTGGGTCCAGGTCACTCAGATGAGATTCACCTGGGACAAGGCCAGCAGTGGCTCCTCCGAATTCCCTTTCTTTGTCTCATAAAGAATACAGACTGAAAATGCCTGTCCCAACTGATCAGTCAGAGTAGAATGTTTGTTGGCCAAATTTCTCTCCTTCTTCCAGGCCTCTGAACTTTGACCCCTACTTTGACCTCCACTTTTAGGGCCCCTCCCAGAAAATATGCTGACCTTAAATGGTGAAATATTCTCTCACCTGCTGTCTTAAACTGTCCTCTTTCGTCCATTTCCTCACACATTCTTTCTGCTTTTTAACTCCTCTCATTTACAAAGCCTCCTTTTTGTGTTACTCTCTCTTAGGAACCTCATGGTCATGGTTGCCTCCCTATTAGGGTGGGGCCCTGCTCCTCAGTCCTTTTGAATAAAGTGTCTTATTACTAAATTTGGTTTTTTTTTTTTTAATTGGATAGCATTTTCCCATTCATGGCTGTTGTCTAATTTCTCAGCATACTTAAACAAATTTCTCTAGTCTTTTTAGAATTTTCTTTCTTTCTCTCTCTTTCCTAAGGCGCCTGCTAACTTCCTCTGTGCCAGCTAGATAGGCCACTGTCTAGAGTGGAGGCAGCCAGACCTGTCACTTAGTAGAGCCGCTTCTTTGAAGGTTTTTCTCTCCTGCCTCCACCTTAATCTCTAGCTGAGATAACAGTCGGACTCTCTTCATTACATTGTAGACTACTGATTTTTAAAAAAAAAATTTTTAACAAAATATTTACAAAATATTCTATACATGTTGGTCACCTCTTTGTAAAATTTTATAATGACTATTTCGTAAATCAAGACACATTTAGCTACAACTTCCATTTTCCCTATGTATGGAGACATTAGAGATAACGTCTTTGGGATACCCTGTAGCTTAGATTGGATTTAATTGTACTTTAGATTGTGTTTAATTGTCATGCCTCTCTTACTTCCTTTGTTCTGGAACAAATATCTAGCATTTCTGGTATGATATTTTTGTTTCTTAAGAATGTAGCCCCTCTTTTGTAGATCTAGTAGAAGGTTTCTCATCTTGGCTATTTGTACTGTTTCTTCATAATTTGATCCTGCTCTGCATTACTGTCTAGGAAGTTACATAAGTGTTCGTGGTGTCCTCCTAAGGGTCTGACATCTGGAGAGTTATCATTTCCATCTGTTCTTCACTGGTGATGTCAGTTTTGATCACTCATTTAATGCATTATCTAGTTTTTCCACTGTGTAGTCACCTAATAAGCAGTCTGTCAGGAATTACATTAATGATGCAAAGATCCTACTCTTCATCAGTGTTTCCTCTTCGATTTGGTATGTGCTGATAGTTCTTGCCTGAGCCGTTTTTTACTCTGATGAGTTATTTTATTCCAACTCCAGCACTTCCTTCATATTTAATGGTTGGGACTAGGCATGCTCTTGTTTCCTCAGCATGGATTTAATAGGAATTCCTATATTTTTTTTTTCAGTAGTCTGTGATTAGTCATTATTGTCTCCTAATTATTTTTGTGCTTCATTTGTCTCAAATTTTGCCAGCAGATTCTCTTCAAGAGCTGGCTCCAGGAGTCAGGTTTCTTTTACTGGGAAATAGTATTAGTGACCAAGACCCTGGCACTAGTTGTGCTCAGCGCTCAATCCATTTTCAGCAGGATGGACTTTTTTTTAGATGCATTCTTTCTTTCTTTCTTTTTTTTTTAGACAGAGTCTTAAGCTGTCACCCTTGGTGGAGTGCCCTGGCGTCACAGCTCATAGCAACCTCCAACTCTAGGGCTTAAGTGATTCTCTTGCCTCAGTCTCCTGAGTAGCTGGGACTACAAGCACCCACCACAACGCTTGGCTATTTTTTTTGGTTGCAGTTGCCACTTCTGTTTTAGCTGGCCGGGACTGGTCTTGAACCCACCACCTTCGGTATATGGGGCCAGCGCCCTACCTATTGAGCCACAGGCACTGCCCAGATACATTCTTTATTGAAGGGGGAGTTGTTTAACCTGATCTGAAGTTTCTTTCAACCTTAATTATCTTTCTTTAGTGCAATAGGATTGGTATTTTCCAGAAACATTAAGAATAAGAATGCTTAAAATCTGTTGCATGCTGAGTAAGTTCATGCCTTATGGACCAGGAATCTAGGGCACGTACTTCCAAATGAGGAACTATTGCCCCTATGCTAAAATGAGAACATGGTTGTGATTCTCTTTGTAGAGATTGGAAACAGCAGGGGTGGGTGGTGTGGGGATGGGAAGAAGAACAGAGCTTCTCTGGACACTTAGGCTTTTATAAAGCAGTTGCCCCATGAACAACATGGATTGAACTGCCACTTGGATGTGGATTTTTTTTCAATAAATATATTTATTTTTTAAAGACTTGCAACAATTCGAAAAAACGCACAGATGAAGCATGTAACCTAGAAATATTTGAAAAATTAAGGAAAAGTTAGGTATGTCATGAATGCATAAAATACATGTAGATACTGGTCTATTTCATCACCTACTGTTAATATATAATCTATTATAAAAAGTTAACACATATGAAAAGTTTTTACACAGGCTGTACATGGTAACATTCAAAGTTGAGCTGCAGTGTGGTGTAGCCACTCGTGTTGCTATTGCAGTGAGCTCAAAGTTGTGAGTATTTGCTTAAACTGGGTGATGCTAATTATCTCCATGTAAGAGTTCACCTTTCCAGTAAATTTCATATCGTAGTAAGAAGTGATCTCTTGCAGTTCTTGTATTTTTCATCATGTTTAGAATAGTAACTGTCCAGCATAAGGACCATTGAGGATAAAGAAAAGGAAATTTGTGAAGCTTTTGTTGTATCTGTGCTGAAAGGCATGAAAACCCTGCACTTACTGTGAAATACCTTTGTAAACTCATATTGATAATTTACCTTTTATGTGGGCGCAGGATTACTATAAGAAAGGCATATCTCTAGCCGGGCGTTGTGGTGGATGCCTGTAGTCCCATCTACTCGGGAGGCTGAGGCAAGAGAATCACCTAAGCCCAAGAGCTGGAGGTTGCTGTGAGCTGTGATGCTATAGCACTCTACTGAGGGCGACAAAGTGACACTCTGTCTCTTAAAAAAAAAAAAAAGAAGGAGAAAGCCATATCTTTCTTATAGTAAAGAAAAAGTAAAGCCATTAAATGTCAATTTAAAGCAAACAGAAGATGAGGGATTTAATACCAGCAAAGGATGGTTTGATAATTTTAGAAAGAGTTTTGTCTTACGAAATGTAAAGATAAGCAGATTTTGCTCTCTGAGAGGCAGGCAAGAGGCAAGTTCTCTGACACTATTAAGAAAATTGTTGAAGGGAATGGATATCTGCCTCAACAGATTTTTAATGTTGATGAAAGTGCTTTATTGTGGAAAACAGTGTCACAAGGGACATTTATTAGGAAGAGAGGTAAGCACCAGTACTTAAAGCAGGAAGGGGTGGGGTGACTGCTATTTTGCACAAATGCAGTCTGCTGTATGGTCAGGACTGACTTTATCTATAAAGCTGCTAATCCCCAAGCCTGTAAGGGAAAAGATAAACACCAGCTGCTGGTCTCTGGATGTGCAAGGAGAGGGCCTGGACAATGAGAACGCTTTTTCCGGGTTAGTTCTACTGTTGCTTTTTGTTCCTGAAGTCAGGAAGTACCTTGCCAGTATGTGACTACCTTTTAATGTTCTTTTGTTGTTGGATAATGTTCCTGGCCACCCACAACCCTGTGAGTTCAACACCAAAGGCACTAAAGTGGTCTATTTGTCCCCAACACAACATCTCTTAATTTACCCTCTAGAGGAGGGGGTTATAATGACCTTTAAGGCTCATTATACAGGGTACTCTTTAAAAAGGATTGTCAACAATGTGGAGGAAAACCCTCATAGACCATCATGAAAGTCTTGAGAGGATTCTGCCACTGAAGATGCTATTTCTGGTTTGGAAAAAGCTGTTAAAGCTATCAAGCTGGAAACAGTACATTTCTGCTGGAGAAACCCATGTTCGGATATTGCACTGACTTCACAGGGTTTACGATAGAGCCAATCAAAGAAATCATGAAAGAGATTATGGATATGACAAAATTGGTAGGGGGCGGGGAGTGGTAAAGGGTTTCAAGATATAGATATTGGAGAAATTCAGTAGCTAATAGACACCACAGCAGAGAGATTAATAGAAAGAAGATGGCTTGGTGGGAGACAGGTGTTTCTGAACAATGCCAGTGGAAGGGTTCTGATTATTAAGACTGCTTTTCACTTCTGTAAACCCTGTTATGATTAGGGCACTGAAACTAAAGCTGGCGGTGGAAGCTTCAGTGTTGTATAGAAATATTTTTAGAGAAGTGAAAAATAGAAGTTACAATGTATTTACATAAAGTTACACCTAGTGTTCCTGCCTCTTTTTCCACCTCTATCCCTTCCTCCTCTGCCACCCCTGAGACAACCAGACCCACCTCTAATTCCACCTTCACCGCAGGCTGCTCAGTGTGAAGATGACGAGAATGAAGACCTTTATGATGAGCTGCTTTCACTTAATGAATAGTAAATGTTTCTTCTTCCTTACTTTCTTAATAACATTTTTTCTCTAGCTTTATTGTAAGACTACAATATGTAACACAACATACAAAATATATGTTAATTCACTATTTGTGATATCAGTGAGCTGTCCAGTCAGCAATAGGCTATTAGTAGTTAAGTTTGGGGGGAGTTGAAAGTTACATGTAGATTTTTGACTTGCTAGGGAGTCAGCACCCTTAACCCCAGTGGTATTCAAGGATTTTGTGCAGTACCTGGGACTGGAGAAAGGAAGTAAGGTAAAATAAGCACATTTTGTTAAAGTAAAAGGTAGCCTGAAGAAATACCCATAGAACTATCTTTCTTGACCAAAGAATAAAAAATTTCAGCCTTATAAATCTTAAAATATCTTAGTGGTCTCCCAGGAAATTTGGTACTATTTGATAGAGGTACCCTACCTTTTAAGGAAAATTTAAAATCTCAGGGCAGTTAACATATTATGTTGAGCATTTTCGTTTTGCAATGTTAGTCTTTGATTCTCTGTATGTGCTTGGTCCTAACTCAGGTTTTCCTCTGGATCTGTTACGCTGTGAAAGCCTTCTTGGTTTGGATCCTGCAACTTGCAGCAGAGTTCTAAACAAAAATTACACACTGCTTGTGTCCATGGCTCCGCTCACCAATGAAATCCGGCCGGTCAGCAGCTGTACCCCTCAGGTAAAGACCCACTAGGAAACCCACTTGGTAGTGCCATTGCGACTACTGTCATTTTTTTTTTCTTAGTTCTCAATTTGCAGATAACATATATTAAAAACACTGACTCAGAGAGCTGTCTCGTATTTTACTCCATTGTGAGATGATACGTGGAATTTGTGAAGCATAATTGGCATAGTTTATGTTTCATTCAGTGACTTGTGACACATTAGATTAAAATTTTATTCATGTACAGAATAATTTAAAGAGAATGCTTTGGGATGCGCTAAGAAGAAAGCCTGGATCATTTTGAAGGATCAGATGAATTTAATTACGAAAAATGAAATGTTTTAGCTGTGTTGCTAAATAAACTGGAAGGAAAAAATGGTGCTGAAACTCTATTTAACTGTAGAATATATGTGTTAAAATTACTTTTGTTTTTTAACTTCTTAAAAAAAATCAGTTGCATTTATTTGTATACTTAACAAGTTGTCTGCACCATGTCCCAGGAATGGGGGTTATGTTGCTCTTCTTCAGTGCGCTGTCCTGTCTAGCTTCCAGGATATGCAGGATCTAGTGGTGTAGAAGAAAGGAATGGCGGAGCGCAGCCTCTGCTCAGTGCGTAGGGCACCGGCCCCGTATACCAAGGGGCGGGTTCAAACCCAGCCCTGGCCAAACAGCAACAAAAAAATAGCGGGGCATTGTGGTGGGTGCCTGTGGTCCCAGCTACTTGGGAGGCTTAGGCGAGAGAATCACCTAAGCCCAGGAGTTGGAGGTTGCTGTGAACTGTGATGTCACGGCACTCTACTGAGAGTGATGAAGTGAGACTTTGTCTCTACAAAAAAAAAAAGAAAGGAATGGCTTCTTGTACAAAGTTGATTTCGTTGCCCAGGTTTTTCCCTCTGCCTCAGTGAGGACCCTGCATCCCCACACCAAGTTTTGTCCTCTTTATTGAGCAGGAGATGAGCATTTAACCAACCTTCTTTTGTAATTCTTTGTGCCACACCCCACCCCCACCCCCCCACACCCTCACCCCCCCACCCCCCGCTGATAATAGGCATATCCGGGAACTGTCTGGATAAATGGTGGAATGGATGGAATTTTATGAAAATTTGCATGTGAATTGTGATAGTAACAGCTAACACTTTAATATAGAGAGATTATTACAGTGGTTCTCAACCTTTCTAATGCTGCAGTGTATTTTCATTGTTAAAAAGGGATCACAACCCACAGGTAGAGAACTGCTGGTTTATTATACTATTACTATTTTAAGCCTTTTGAACAACCTTACAGCATTCTCATGAGGGAGACACTTTACTGCTATTTTATAGATTGAGCAAAATGAGGCATAGAGAGCCTACATGTGACCTGAAGGTGACTTGGCTGAAGGGATGAAACCAAGATACGAAACTGGGCAGCCAGCTCCCTCCAGAGTCCATCCTCTTACTGGCAGTAATAACATGTATTTTCTTGATTCTAGTATTAAATGGAAACTATTTTAATGAAACTTTTGAAATTTATTTTCATAAGGATAATTGCGTATATGAGGTATTTGCTATTTATCAGACTATACTTGCTCACTTGTATTTGTTTTCTTTAGATAAATTACAGCCTTATCTGTTTTATGATTATAGCATATTGGACCAGCTATTCCAGAAGTCAGTTCTGTCTGGTTTAAACTGTATATTTATCATATTACTGGGCAAGGACCACCATCTCTCTTACTATCCAAAGGTACCAGACTTCGAAAATTGCCAGATATATTCCAGGTATGTGTGTGAGGTTTTAGGTGGTGGTGGTTTTGTTGAGGAGGCTGGAAATTTGTGAGCAGATTGTAGATAACTTTCGTAACTTTTTCTTTATTTCTAAACCCCATTTTATATATTAATTATTTATTTCTTTATAATAGGGTTATGATCGATTACTAATAACATCTTGGGGTCATGATCCTGGAGTAGTTCCTACATCAAATGTGCTCACGATGCTGAATGATGCTTTAACACATTCTGCGGTTTTAATTCAGGTATGGTTACCTCATTTGAAACAATCAATTTTGGATTTTTATCATAACCAACATAATTTGATTACCTTTCTACTGAGTCACAATCAGATTTCAGTAATTGAAATGTATGCAGTAAAAGCATAAGGAATCAAAGATGTGGATGTCAGTCTTGGCCGTTTGGCAGTGTGGAGTTGGTAGAAGCAACATGGACTTTGGAGTTAGAATAGGTTTGAATTCCAGCTTCACCTTCTGCTGGCTGTGTGACAGCTTTATAGTAAGTTTCCCCTTATCTGTGGGGGTTATGTTCCAGGACCCCCAGTGGATACTGAAGCCGTGGATAGTACTGAACCCTATGTATTCAGTTTTTTCTTATACATACATATACATTTATGCTAAAGTTTAGTTTGTAAGTTAGGCACAGTAATTTATATGTGGAATGTGTAGAGGGGTCAGCCCCAATAAATCTGTCTGGACAGGGAGTTTTTTCTCCTTGCTGTTTCCCTAGTGCCTAGCACAGTAGTTGGCTCATAGTAGTTATTCAACTAGTGTTTGTTGAATAAATGAGTAGGAATATGAAGTGGCATGACACACCAGGGCCTGTAAGTTGTTCAGTATTTTACAGGGGTAAGAGTGGAAGGATCGTGGGTCAGAAATGAATATGGAGAAGTAGGCAGGCCGTGGAGTGTCCTGCTGTGGAGCTTAGAGTTTAACCTGTAGATGACGGCAGCAATTACCTGGTGCATGCAGGTTGCTAACATGTCTAGGAGTGGATGTAGGGCAGGTGTCCTCAAACTACGGCCTGCGCGCGGGTCACATGCAGCCCTCCTAGGACATTTATCCGGCCTGCCAGGTGTTTTTGCTGCCGCTGCCTGTCCTGCTTAGCAGCCGACTCGTCCCGGGGCCTGTAGTCCGGCCCTCCAACGGTCTGAGGAACCGTGAACTGGCCCCCTGTTTAAAAAGTTTGAGGACCCCTGACTAGGGTGTGGGGGAAGATGCAAGAGGAGACCAATTAGGATTATGTGTAGCAGTCTAGAGAAGAGACGAAGATGGCTCAAATCAAGGAAGTGTAATAAAAATTAAAAGGAAAAAAATGGATTTAAGAACTACTACAAATATACAAGTAATACAGTTGATCAGATATATGAGAAAGATAGGGGAAGAGGGAAGGATGATTCCAGGGGTATTTGGCTTGTGAAGGTGGAATCGGGGTGGGTGCTGCGACTGTTTGAGAGAACACAGGAGGAAGGGCTGGCTTATGGGGCACATGGTGTGTTAGGTTCTGAGCATGGGAGTAGGAGTGTAAGTATCTGTGGGATATTTGGGTGGTAAAGAAATATTCTGAAATTCAAAGAGAGAGATTGAACAAAAGAGATCAGCTTAAACCAGCGTCAGCAGGTAGATGGTAATTAAAACCAGGAGAGATGGCTCGGCGCCTATAGCTCAACCGGCTAAGGCGCCAGCCACGTACACCTAAGGTGGTGGGTTCGAATCCCCAGCCCGGACCCGCCAAACAACAATGATGGCTGCAACCAAAAAAAAAATAGCCAGGTGTTGTGGCGGGCACCTGTGGTCCCAGCTACTTGGGAGGCGGAGGCAGGAGACTCGCTTGAGCCCAGGAGTTGGAGGTTGCTGTGAGCTGTAATGCCACGGTACTCTACCCAGGGGGATAGCTTGAGGCTCTGTCTCAAAAAAAAAAAAAAAAAAAAAACCAGGAGAGATTGAGATTAGCCAGGGAGAACTGTAGGGAGGTGGTGGGAGATAACGCAACAGAATGGGCTAGATGTGGACTGGTCAGACTGTCTGAATTCACATCTTGGCTCTCATTAGTGATCTTGGGAACATTGAATAACCTCCTTGAACTTTGATGTCTTTACCTGTAAACTGGAAATGGTAAAGTTTGAAGAAAATGCCTGAACTGGTTAATTATATAGATGCTTTGCAGTGAGTTTAGCACAAGGAAGATCTCGGACGCTGTAAGCTGTGTGGTAGTGGCAGTAGAAATAGTGAGGGAGCAGTGGGGGACCGTTCCTGTTTGTCCTGTGGTGGGTCAGCCTTTCATGTCTTTGAGCTTCACTTGGGCTGATGTGCCCTTGCTTTTTCCATGTGGCAATTAGAGACCTTTCCATTTTAGTTCAGAGAGAGCTTCCTTTCTTCTTTTGCAACCGCCTTGAAAGTGTGTATTGTAACTGTAATTTGTTTAACCTGTCCTCTGTCAGTGAGCATTTTGGTTGTTTTCAGTTGCATGTTATTGTAATGGTGTAGCAGGTTACTCTTGGGTGTAGGTTGTTTCTGTTCAGGCTTTTGAGTTTTGCATTCCTAGTCCATGGTAAGCCGTGTGGTTGTGGGCGTTCTTCTGCCCACCCCCCCACCCCACCCCGGCTAACCCTTGTGTAAGCTCACTTGGCCTCGTTCAGTCTTCCCTTGACTAGTACCTGATTTATCTGTTAAATTAGCCATTTTTTTTTTAATCAGCCTGTACACTCAATTTGAGGAACATTGTCTTGTGGGTTAAAGTACATATAAGATTGTTATTATTTGCTATAGAAAAATAGAAAATTGTTGAAAACGTCTTGGTGAAGTATTAATATGGAATATATCATCATGTGACTCAATCTTACAGTGTGAATGTCAGTTTTTGGAAATGTAGGTTTCTCCTTTCATGTTTGCTTCTTTACGTTTAGGGACATGGTCTGCATGGGACAGGAGAAACTGTTCACATACCGTTTCCATTCGATGAGACAGAACTGCAAGGAGGTACCTTTTGAATTGTATCCATTGACTTTTTTTTATTCATTAAATGTCAGTGATTTGATGGGAAATGTGGCAGGAAGTGAATTTTTAACTATTCTGCTATTAAAGAGTATTGACAAAAGTTTTTTTTTTTTTTTTAATGTGCTTTCTCTGCAAAAACTGTTAGAGCAAGACTCATTTAGGACCTTTGAAAAAATGTTAATTTCTCTTGGAGTTGAAGATAATAAGTAGATTATCTGCCTAGATGGAAGACTGTTTTCTCTCTGCTTAGCCCTTCAGTTTCCTTTCATTGTTTATTTTTTGAAGATTGGGGGAAAAGATAACTCGTAAGTCATAGGGAAGATTTTATGCTTAGAAAGGTGATTTTTTTTCCCCCCTCAATGTCTCATACATTCTTTTTGTGGGGGGTATTTTTACCATGTTCAGTGCAAAGTTAAGTCTCTTGATATGGGCCTGTTCAACATTTCCACTTCATTCTGGCTAAGTTTTGGGAGATGGTGTGCTTCCAAGTATTGGTCAATTTCTTTCAGATTGTCATATTTCTGGGAATAAAGTTTCTTGTAATATTCATTGAGGATTTTTTGAATTTCTAGGATTTCCCCAACCCTAACCCTAACCCAACCCCAAAGTTGAGTCTTTGAGTCTCAACTTGTGGATTAATTGGTTTGTGTATATACACTGTACATACTAGAGACTGCTGCTAGAAACTTAGTGGTTTCATATTTTAATTTTTTTAATCAACTTACAAATTTGTTAGGTAATTTAGAAATGGATGGTAGTGAACACTTGTATTAGTAGTTTATAGAACACTTGCATATATTTCTTGATTCAGCATTTCTTTCTGCTGTTCAATTTTATTTTTAACATTAGAGGGGATTTGAGTGGATGCAGGGTTTTGCAGGGTTTTTGCTAAATCAAGCTTGTTAGAACTAAACAAGAGAGCTTTGTTTGTGTCTTTCTAGAAACGAATGTGAGCCACTGGAATGTGAGCCACTGTAGATTTGACGCAGGATGCTGAGAGAATTTCTATAGAAACATATTCATTCTTTTATAATATAGAAGATACCTTTTCTCTGTTGAATATAGCTTATGTTGTTTCATAGAACTTACTGTTCTAGTTGCCACTAACCCTACTCCTCTAAAGAAGGAAAGGGAGAATTTATAAATAATCCTTTTCCATTTCACATGGCTAGACTGCAGAAGCCTCATGTTTGAAATTAAGATGCTTGCTTCTGCCTGTTGTGAATAAATATGTATAAAACCGGTAGAGAAGAGTTTTCTGTCTCAAATAGCTCCTGTTCTTATATGAGGACTTCTCTACAGCTAAACCTTGCCATTTAATCTTCTAAACAAATTGTAAGGAAAAAAATACTTGTTTATGTGAAGATGTAGATAGTGACAACAAGGTCTTAAAATTTAGAAAGTCTCAAGAACTGATGGGAGTCCCTTGCCTTGCGGTATCATGTGAAGTGTAAAAGAGTTATCTTCATATTTGGATAGAGAGCATCTTCTCTTTTGTAAGTTTACATATTTATGAGAACTTGAACTAATATATAAGTAATTTAGGCATATGATTTCAAATAATATTAATTAGCTTTAGTTTCAATAAGAATAACTTGGCTTTTCTTAAATTTTTTAAAAATATAATTTGTGTATAATACATTTCCTGATAGAAGCCTGCCAAGTAAGTTTTCCAGGCAGAGTAGAACCACAAGGGGAAGTCTAGAGAATTTGTCACTGATTGGCTTTATTTGCTTATTTAGCGGGTAATTTGTTTTACAGATGCTTCCTGAAGTTTGTAAACATGTTGTGTGAACAACATTCTTTTGTAATCACATATATTTCTGCACTGGAGTCAATCTTGATATATTATGTATGAAAGTATTTCTAAGAATTGCTTAATAAAGAAAAGTATATTTAAGTTGGTGTTGTGTTATAAAACTAGTCACTAATGTTGTGTCGTTCCTTTGTCCTTAGAGTTCACTCGTGTCAATATGTGTGTTCATAAAGCGTTGCAGATGTTAAGGAGCAAAGTGGACTTGCAGCATTTCTGTGGATATGTCACCATGTTGAACGCTTCCAGCCAACTAGCAAATAGAAAACTCAGTGATGCTTCTGATGAGAGAGGTTAGCCAATAGTTGGGTTCTTTGAATTAAGATGATTTTGTTTTGAATTAAGATAATTCACATAATCTTTTTTTTTTCTTTTATGTCAGAGTTTCACTTTCTTGCCCCCAGTAGAGTGCCATAGTGTCCTAACTCGCAGCAACCTCAAACTCTTGGGCTCAAGTGAGTCTCTTGCCTTAACCTCCCAAGTAGCTAGGACTACAGGTGCCCACCACAACGCCTGGCTAGCTTTTTAGAGATGGGGTCTCACTCTTCCTCAGGCTGGTCTTGAACTTGAGCTCAAGCATTCCACCTGCCTTGACCTCCCAGAGTGCTGGGATTACAGGCATGAGCCATGACACCCGGCTCTGCATAATCTTATTATATAAAAACTAGCAAACCTTTTGGGAATGTTGAATTATTTAATAATTAATGTTCTTTTTGCTGAAGGATGAGAAAATATTTCGTAACATCTTTTGGACAAGCATCAGTTGTTCAAATGGAGAAAATAGGGTTGGAATACAGAATGGTTTGGGGGCTTTTAGCCCTTTACCGTCACATCTGTGTTTACAGGGTTTGAGTTAAGGTAGCTTTATAGGGTGGTGGTTTCAAAACTCAAGTCTCTGTAAAAATGTTTCCAACATAGACTTAATAGATTTTCCCTTTCATCTTTTCTTTTTCCATCAAGTGTACCATTGTCTTTGTTACCCAGGCCTAAAATTTTAATTTAATCTCATTTTTTTTTTTTTTTTTTTTTGCTCTGTTCATTTAACTTCCAAGTTCTGTGATTTAGAAATGTCCCTCACTTGTTTTCTCCACTCTCTCTCCTTTTTAAATTCTGTATAAAAATGTTCTAGTCTGGGTCCTGATCCCTTAATCATGTATTATTGCTATCATCCCCTGCTTAGCCTTCCTGGCCTCTCCTTCTCTCTCCAGTCTGTCCTGAGTATTGACAACAGCTAATGTTCATTAGACACCACTTTCTTTTTCATTTGAAAGTCCATTTTCTCATAAACTGCGTCATGCTTCTTGTTTCTGCTCTGGCAGAATATTGGTTTGTATGTGGTTTTGGTTGCCACGATGCCAGTCCCTGCTCACTTAACCCTGGGAGACTGAAACAATCAAATGTCTGCCAGTGATTAAAAATATTCCATGAGCCTCTTAGTTTGGAACCCTAAGCAAATGTGGTTGATTTCTAGCCATCAGGTCAATTGGATTGGCTTTCTTTGTGACAGGTAGCTACTCCTGGTTCATTTAACTTTGACCTGAGGAGTAGGGTAGCTTTCAATAGTTGACTACCAGGTATTGCAGGAACATTTTCTAGAGAAAAGGGCTGTCTATGTCTTAGTCATTTCAAAGCATGTCTACTAAAGTTGACATTTTTTATATCATTCATTCCACAAACATTTATAGAATGTCTGCCTAGGTGTTAGAGATATTTAAATTAGTGAGACCAGATTTTATTCCAGAGATTAAAATCTGGAGAGAGAGACAAATGAGGGAATCAGTGTACAGAGTGCTAATGACAGTAATAGGGGTCTGTTTAAACTGCTAGTGCAGCACAGAGAAGGCAGATCTTAGCCCAGCCGAGCTACCAGAGAAGGCTGCTTAGAAAAGGTAAAGTCTGAATTGGGTTTTGAAAAATAAACAGCTAGACAAAAGATGATTTTTTTTTTTTTTGAAAGGCACCAGCCTTTCAGGCAGAGGGAATTAGGAGACTGTGGCTCATCATGGCCAAAAGAAAGGATTTTATTTGCTGGATAGCAGTAGAAGATAAGAGTAGAGAGTTAGGTAAAGTCTAGAGATCTTGGAGTGTTGAAAGACATGAAGAGTCAATAAAGAATTCCAAAGAGGAATAACATGATGACAATGAATATTTCCATAGGGATAGAAACAGCTTTAATAGTGATCTAAGTGAAAGTTTGACTTTTGTCTTACCTTGTGGATTTTGATTTCCTTAGGCTAGAGATGCTTAGCCTCAGCACTGTTTGCATCTTGAGCTTGACAATTCTTTCTCATGGAGGACTATCCTGCATGTTTAGCATCCGTAGATATCAGGAGCATCACATCCTGCAAAATTGCAACCCTGGTTTAGAACCAGTGCTTTAGTCCAAGCGTTATTCATTTTTTCCCTATAATCAGTGCCATTATATGAAGGTCCTCTTTATGTGAAGACTGATTTATTGACATATTCTACTAACTTCCAGAATCCTAAATATTCCCTTTAATTTTAAGGAGAACCTGATTTAGCTTCTGGCTCAGATGTAAATGGGAGTACGGAATCATTTGAAATGGTCATTGAGGAAACAACTATAGATTCAGCAACAAAGCCAATTGCTGGTAAAGTGTTAAAAATTTTTTGCAATTTTATTTTTAGACTAATTGCTGGGGTTTAACTTTTCTGGTAAGTCATTTGTCTATTGTTATCTGTAATGAACTTTTATTAAAGTTTTCTAGGAAACATTTTTATATACTTAGAATAGTAGTAGTTCAAGTAGTATAAAATTATGACTTGAAAATAATAAATTTAATTTTTCCTGTATTAAATATTTTGATTCATTCTTTCATCTTATAAACGTCTTACACTATTCTTTTTTGGGTACATGACTACTTTGAATACTTGATGAAAGCTGTGTACTTTCTCCCCAGTCACATGTATATACTCAAAAAAACATACTCTCTTCTTTCAGAGATAACTGGCCCCATTCGATTCCCCCTCCCCTTCCATGCCCACTACTGGATGTCACTAGGGCCAGGAATCCGACCCTCAGGTCACAAAATGCTTGTCATATGATATGTATAAATAGATAAACAGTAGAACCTCCATAGTTGACCACCTCCTTAAGTTGACCTAACTTTCAGAGACTGGGCATGCATCACATGTACTCAGTGGAAATTTCTTATGTTGACCACCTCTGTATGTTGACCAGTTTGTTACAGTCTCTTGGGTGGTCAGGTTAACAGAGGTTCTGCTGTGCGTGATTTACAAATAAGTTTATTGTGTCCTTTTTTAGGTGCCACAACAGAAGCAGATTGGGTTCCTCTTGAGCTGTGCTTTGGAATTCCACTGTTTAGTTCAGAATTAAACCAGAAAGTTTGTAGGAAAATTGCTACACATGGCCTTTGCAGAAAAGAGAGGTGAGGTTTATATCTATTCTCCTTTCCCTCTGCTTGACTTTCAGGCTGTCAGTAAAAGGTTCCTGAATCTTGCTTGCTTTTGTTTCACACATGAATGTAGTAGTTGCCTTGTATGTATTTATTGAGATGGCTAGTTTAAGGGTTTTGCTGTATTTTTCAAAATTAAATTTCACTAGATTAGAAATCAGTCACATGCAGACACTTTGGGCTCATACTTTGGTTAGTTACCTTTACTAGGCACCCAGGTTTGGTGATGGTGTAGTGAAATGGGCATGCTTATATGGGTGTGAATCTAGAACCTATATATTTTTCTTAATACAAAATTTCTCTATATGTACTTCTCAATTCATTTGATTGGCTTAATGTAGCTTATGTCGTAAAACTAAAAGTACTCAGTTAAAAAAATAAAATTAAATTTAAAGTACTCAGTTTATTTTACTATCTGTTCTATGAAAGTAAAATAACATACATGAATAAAAAGTAGAAATACTGTGAAACTTTAAAGATTGCCACTAAAATTTTTACCAGTTTACGTATTTGAGAAAATATTTCTTTTAGGTGGGTTGATGTGTGTTAAGTGTTTCATATTTTTTATCAGGTTGTCTCTTAAAATTATTCTGGCTATTTGAAGTGGTTTGTGTCATTGTCATTCTTCAAAGTGCCTAAATCATTTAAGAAGTTTTTTTCATTTAATATTTATTTTTACTAATAGTTGAAAAGTTTCTTTTTTAAACAGTAACTTCAATTTTGGTTATATAATATTTTATATTTCAAAATGACTTATATGCACTGTATGCACTTTTATTGATGAAAAGCCATTGAAATTGGTTTTTAAATTAATTGATTAAGATGTAAATACGTATGTAAATGGATTTAAGTTGCTAAAATTGAACTCTTATGAGATATTTGTTCTTACCAATATGTTCATTTTAAACTTTTTCTCTTCCTTTTTTTTTTTTTATAGCCTTCAAAACCTCTTACATTCCAGCAGAAAACTTTCTTTGCAAGTCCTTAACTTTGTTCACTCATTCCAGGTAATAGAAAATAAAACGTTCAAATGGTACTTGTATAGACCTTTATAGTGTGCAAGACACTTCCATGTTTATTTTTCAGTCTCCACAGTAGCAAGATAATAAGCATTAATTTCATCGTATAGGTAAAGACTCTCAGATTTGAGAAGTTAATTTACTTGCACATTTAATTGGCCAGGTCTTCAGACACCAAAGCTTGATCTTTTGTTCTGTGTCAGTGCTTTATTCAACAGAAATGAGATAGGCATCTATCCTGGGCTGTGCACCATGCTAGGTGCTGGTGCTTGGTTATGGTATACTCCATTAAAGATGCAACGATTATGCATTGCCAAGAGGGGGGTTTTCTGTTACGGCATTGAAGGCCAGTGCTCAGGATTTTTTGTTTTCCCCACAAGGAAATAAAGGATATTCTAGACTTGATTTAACATAAACTTATAGAATGGGTTATTTCTATTTAGAGTATTTGATCTAACATTATGAAATCACATTTTGGAGTTTTATTTCATTCATTCATTCATTCAATAAAACTTGAATCTACCCTATGCCATACCCTTTGCTAGGTGCTAGGGAAATAGTGCTGTGTAATACACTAATGGAAGTGATAGTGTTAGATGAGACAATAGTCAAATAAACTTCAGAATACATAAGTAATTACAGATTGTAGTAAGTACTGTAAAGGAGCCAAACCTGCATTCCATTATGGTGGAATCTGCAGGTAGACCCAGTTGAAATGGTGAGAGATAATATGTAAGCCAAAACCTAAGTCATGGAAAAGAGTATTCTAGGCAGAGCTTCCAGGTCCATAGGTCTTATGTCAGGGAAGTGCTCAGTGTACAAAGAAACAAGGAGTGGCAAAAGAGGAGTTGGAAGAGAACGGGCCCGTGATACACAGGGCCTATGTTCAGGAATTTGTGTAATATGCTGAGTGTAAAGAGAAACAAAGGTTTTTGGTCTTTTTGCAGTTTTTGGCCAGGGCCAGGTTTGAACCTGCCACCTCCGGTATATGGGGACAGCACCTTACTCCTTTGAGCCACTGGCACGGCCCGAGAAGTAAAGGTTTTTAAATAGGGGAAACATTTTTCCTGATTTTGTAAAAATGTTAGTTACTGTTTGGAGAATAGAAGGGGACAAGGGTAGAAATAAGCACAGTTCGGAGGCTATTATAATAGCTTAAGCAAGTGATGCTGGTAACTGAGTACCTTTTTCATGAAAATACCAAATTTTGCATGTATGCCCAGCAAAATTTTGTTTACTAAATGTACACATTCCTGTATCAGTAATTTATGTATATTTCAAAAAATAAACAAAAATAGAAATTTTATAGGGATGCAGTAAATAGAAGAAAATCCAAAATTCATTTAGTACTGTACCCTACTTTGGAATGAGTACCCCTCTTTGTAGATCACTGGCCTTGGCTATGGTGAATGAGTAAGGTATCACTGGGATACATTTTGGAGATAGACTAATAAAACTTGGTGATGAATTAACTGTGAGGAAGAGATTAGGGTGTGAAGGAGGGAGGGATCAAGAGTAAGTCTTCTATTTCTTTTTCTTTTTTTTTTTTTTTACAGTTTTTTTTTGGCTCGGGGTTGGGTTTGAACCCCCAACATCTGGTATATGGGGCTGGCGCTTTACTCCTTAAGCCACAGGGACACCGCCCAGTCTTCTATTTCTTGATTAGCCAAATGTGTGGAGTAGAGAAGCCTGGGGAGGAAGGGGTAAGGGAAATTTTCAGAGTTCAGTGATGGACATGCTAAGTATAGGCAAAGGGAAACGCCTGAGAGGAGATGTCAGGTAGATGGATGTTTGAGCCTGGAGTTCTGGGGAGAGGTCTGTGTTTTATATATATGAATCTGAGACGCCTGGAGTGGATGGATTGTTCTGGGGCTTAGGTGTTTCAGAGATTTTTTCCAGTTAAGTAAAACTTTGAAGTATACTCAGCCTTCTGACAGTTAACTTTTTCTTATTCACTATTTCTGTTGATTTCAAAGCATGTGACTTGTATTAGTCATTTTTGCATGTATTGATTGATTATTGGGGGGATTCACAAGGCAGATGTTTAGATGTTTATGTCTGCTGTAGTGCTGTGCATTCTATAAACATTTCTCAGATAACCATATTAAGTGGTTTGGCAAAGTACTGAATATAGATTATTTCTCTTGTTTCTTAATCTTTCAGGAAGGTGCTTCAACACTGGAGATTCCCCTGGAGCCCAGTTTTTCAAGTTTGCTTTCACAGTCCTCTTATGCTGATATGGGGGTTCCACTTCCTGCAAAAAACTTAATATTTAAAGATGGCATCTTATCAGAGTGGAGTGGACAGTCACCTTCCTCACTTCTTATTGCTAATCTCCATTTGCAATAATTCGGTTACGCCATTTGTTGCTCACACTTTCTGCCTTTTTTCTTCCTTAACGTTAGCTTTACAGCGTCAGCCACTAAAAAGCGTCCTGCTGCTGCAGTGCAATTCTCGCTTCACTGGTCTTGACCGTTGGGGAACATGTTCATGTTTCTGAAGTTTTGCTCCTTGTTGCACATCGTATTGCAACAAAGTGCTTTTTAGCAGCTGCACTGTATTTTTTACCTTGAGACAATCTGCATTTCTTTTATAAAACTAAGGAGATACTTTATAGGCTTTATGATGACTGTTATGTTTATAAGCAGTCACTATGAATATTGCAATGGTAATTTTATATGTTAGTTTATCAAACATAAATCTTGTTTAATTTTATATTTTGTTACCTATACTTTAGGGGATCAAAGGAAGAGAGAGAACTCTTCCTCTGAAAAAAGGCTTCTTGGTACTTAAAGTAGTAAAACTATAAAACAGTAAACATCCAGTATTGAGAGATGATATGATGGGGCATTAAGTATTCCTGTGGATGTCTGTAAATTATGTATATCAGTTGAACATAGTTGAAGGTATGTAAATCCACATAGTTATATATAACGTAACCTTGATTCCTAGGGTCTTAGACTAGGACTATTCAGTGACATCTCATGAGAAGCTTTGGAAAACATTCTATTTTTAAACACTGTTTATATGTGGACTTCTGTTCTCAGTCACTTTGGGCTTTATATTTTCATAGAGTCTTTATGGAAAAATAGAATTTATTTTTCACTCTTGCAGCTGCAGCTGGTGCATGTTCTCACCCTGATTTATTTTTTGTCTCTCAGCTTTGATGGTTTCAAACCAAGGATTCTGATTTTAGATTAGAATTACATATTAGAAGTGTTAAGGCTGTGTCTTTGGATCAAAATACCTTAGTGATAAACCTACTTTGAAGACATGGTCTAACGTATTCCGGATTTTAAATTTATGTCAATAGCTTTGTAGGAAATGATAAAGCAAAATTGACTAATTTCAAAGTATTTCTTGAGTCATTGATTCTTTGAATATCACAAATGTTAATTAGGATAATTGGAATCACTTTTTAGACTTTTCAGGTTACCCTCCTTGGGAAGTTTGTGCAGTGTTATAATTAGCTCCTTTAGAGGGTAATGGTTTGCTAGTTGAAAACTGTAACCACGCTCACTGGTCAGATAACATATATCTGAAACATTTAAGAATTAGAAAGTTTGGGAACGTTATAACCTAAACATTTTGCTGATAATTTTTGTTACTTATAGAACTGATATTTGTGTATTTAATGTACCTCTGGAAATATATGCCTTTCTTAAAACTGTTATCGTAACCATGTATTCAATACCATGGCCTATCTATAGAATTGAATATTTTGGACCAGATTATCTGTGGCACAGTCAGTGCTGTTTTGGGGGTCAATGCAGTTGTGTCTGGTTTCCTACTTTGTCCTATAGAACTATAGAAGGTAGAAACCATGTGTATGTTATGTTTGTCTGTGCTAATATTAAAATAATTTCTTATGACTGTGAATCACTCATTTATTTTTCCAATAATTGATATTGTACATTCCAAGCACTATTAAATATGTATGTATGTAACTATTACAGTTTTTCAACTGAAAGTTGTAAGTATTTTATTTGATCAGGAGTCTCTAATCTCATTTTAATTTTCTTTGTTTGAATTAAGTGTAGTTATTTTATTTATTCCTGTATTAACAATCTAAAGAAACAACTGTAATAGCATGTACACTAATAAAGAATTGAACATTTTGTAGTTGTTGGCAGTGAACCCAGTGTTGTTGAGTTTAAAGCTTAAAATATGGGAATGATTTGCTGCTCTACTTCCTTTGAGGAATTATGGAAGAAAAATAGAACCGAATAATGATCATGAATTTTAGGGAGAGTACTGAAAAACATGTGGTCAACTCTAGTTTCTTGTGTTAAATGAGGAAAGAGTAAATACCATCTTCTCAGCTGAGGACCTCTCAGTACTCTTAGGGAGGGAGGATCTGCATTTTTAGAGCTGTTAGTAAAATGTGAAATGCTGATGTTGTGCTTTACTTTATATAAGAATTTGCCTTTGTTGTGTTCATACAGTAACACATATAATTCCTTAAATTTTATACGTGTTGATCCAATTGAATAAGAAGGAAAATTTAAAATATATACTTCGTTATTTGCCAAAGAAGATTTATGAAAAACTTTTATTCAATTATTTTGTGAATGTTACAAGAAGTTTTGTTTGGCTTTGCGCCACCTCCTCCCCCACACACCCCAAGGTAGCTCAGACCCTGACAAGCATTCTTTAGAACAAGAGGAAACAAAAAGGACACAGTTCAATATTGGTACAGTTTCACCTCACAAATGTGTCTAAAGAGATGCAATTTTATATCATTTTAAAAAATACATTGTTCTGATTTCCTTGATTTCTTTCTTTCTTTTTTAAACATGTCAACATGTAAAGATGATTTTGTATTTGTCTTTTGGGGGGGAGTATTGGTTTCTTTTACTTTTTTCAGTTTTCTCTGTGATTCATGCTTCTTTTTTATGTTCAATGTTTCAAGTATAATTTGTATTTAAAGATTTTAAAGTACCAAAACTATAACTGAATACATTGGATTGTTTTTTGTTAGGATCTTAATATTATACAATGAGGTGTATAAAGTGTTGTCAATTTGATTATTGACACATATAACATGTTTACAAATAAACTGTGGTGTTGATCAAATTACTTTGAGAATGTGTTTAATGTTCTGAAAGTTCCGTAATTTAAAATACAACCATGCTTACAGTGCTGTGGTTTTTATATACTTTAAAACAAACAAACAAAACCCCCCAAACAAAGAAACTTTATTATTTTGTAGTAATTTCAGATTTGTAGACAAGTACCGAAGATAGGTAGTTAAGTGATGTTTCCTATACAGTCACTGTGCTTCCCCTACTGTTAACACCTGGTGTAGATGACTGGCACAACCGTTAAAACTCAGAATTAACCTTGGTACAGTACTATTTCCTAAACTACAGACTTTATTTTTCCTTTCACCAGTTTTCTCACTAATGTCCTTCTGTTTCAGGATCCAGTCCAGGATATCACATTGCGTTTATTTAGCCAGCAGTGCCTCCTAATCTTCTCCAGCACGTGACAGTTTCTCAGTCTTTCATGACCTTGACACTGTAAAGAGTGCCGCTGGTCAGTTATTTTGTAGGATGTCTTTCAGTGTGGGTTTATCGCCTTATGAGAAAGGATATGATGAAGTGATGTGCCCTTTTCATTAGTGTGTCATATCCTGGGGAACGTGATGTCAGTATGTATCACTTGTGATGTTCCCTCACTGGTTAAGATGGGTAAGGGTATCTGCTTGATTTTCCCACTGTAAGATACTATTTTTCCCCCATTTTTATTGCATTCTTTAGTAGAGTCACTAAGTCAAGCCCACACTCAAGGGGAGGGAAATTTAACTTTTATTTCCTTATCAGGAGGAGTATTGATACATATTATTTTAGAATTCTTTTTTTAAAGAAAATATTTCTCTTTTTTTTTTTAGTTCTTTAAAAGACATTTATTTGCGGGTGCAGTGGCTCACGCCTGTAATCCTAGCACTCTGGGAGGCTGAGGCTGGTGGATCACCTGAGTTCACAAGTTCAAGGCTAGCCTGAGGTAGAGTAAGACCCCATCTCTAGAAGAAAAAAGAAAATATTTCTCCCATTTATCTGATCATTTATTAGCATGGATTCGTGGCTATTTATTTTATTCTTTGGATTGAAATCCAGTGTTGTTATTTATTTTGTTATGCAAATTGTCTTTAGCTTTGACAATTGGGAACTCTTTGAGGCTGGGTTCTAAAGTTTTTTTTAGAGACCATATTATTACTTTCTGGCACTGTAAGTATTATCTGGTTCTCCAAGGAACCTTGGTTCTTTTTATTGGAGGGTGGTATTTAGAAACTAAGATCTGGATGTTGGGTGTGCTTACTGTTACTGGAGTGTCACTGCTTCTGGGTCTCTGAGTTAACGGAACTAGGGGATATAAATATATATACTAGCCAGTACAGAGTTACACATATCTCTATCTGTGAGTATATTAAGTTAAACATGAGAATATACTGACAGTATAAATCCTCATTTAACATTGTCAGAAAGGTTCTTGGAAACTGTGACTTTTAGTGAAATGACATATAGTGAAACCCAATTCTTTTTCCTCATCCACATTGTGATGAGTGATGTTGAAGGGATACATTGTATCCGGGCCTGTGGACATGGGTAAGTCGGGACTTAGTATAAACCAGCACCACAAGGTTCACTCTAGCTTAACTGTATAACTTTCTCTGACAGTGGAAAACTTGGCTCCTTTTAGCTACAATTTATTTGCTTATTTGTTCAAACTTACAATACTTATAAAGAGGTTTCAGAAAAGTTAATTTATGCCCTTGGAGAAACAAATGAACCAATTACAAACTACAAACTACAGCCCGTGGGCTGCATGCAGCCTGCCTAGGACATTTATCTGGCTGGCTGGGTGTTTTTGCCGCTGCTTCCTGTCCTGCTTAGCAGCCGACTACTCCTGGGCTGCAGTCTGGCCCTCCCTCCAACAGTCTGAGGGACAGTGAACTGGCCCCCTGTTTAAAAAGTTTGAGGACCCCTGAATTTGAGTATAGTGTTTAAATACTTTTCCCCTTAAACTTTAACAGTATCTAGTCAAAACACTTTCACAAAGTAACCTAGGGCCCCTTTTCTTGCCTCATTAAGGTTGTATCATTTATAAAGCAGTCAGATTCTTCTGTCACACTTTGCATTCCATCTAGGATTTCCTGACAGTTGATTTTATTTATTCATATAGTAAAAATCGCTCTATTTGGGCTTTGATGTATGCATACAGTCATATGTCTACCACCCCAGTATGATACAGAAGGATTTCATCCCCTTATAAATTTCCCTTTATGCTGAATGAACTACTGGCCCCTCTCCCTAACTCCTGGCAGCCATTTACTTAGTATCTGTTTTTCTATTCCTCTGACACTGCCTTTTCCAGAATGTCTTTTACTCAGTGGAATCATACCATTTGTAGCCAGACCCAAAGGTCTGGCCTCTCTTCCCTAGTAAACTTTATTTTAAATTCATCTATATTATGTGAACCAATAATTCTGTTGCTGAGTACTCCATGGTATGGTTGTATTAAGATTTGTTAATCATTTAATATTCATGTACAGGTTTTTAATGTAACCATAATTTATTTTGCTTTGATAAATACCTAGGAGTGGGATTGCTTAGTCACTTAAGTATATACTTAGGTATTTGACTTTATAAGAAACTGCCAAACTGTCTTCCAAAGTGACTATAATGTTGCATTCCTACCAGCAATAAATGGGAGTTCCTGTTGGGGTCGTATTTCCTTGTGAGGTTGAAATATTTCCATAATGAAAAATGATGTTGACAATCTTTTCATATACTTATTTGCTATCCATTATTGACCCATATTTTAAAAGTTGGGTTGTTTGGGGGTTTAAGAGTTCAGTATATTTTCTGAATACAAGTCCTTTATTAAATAAGTGTTTTGCAAATATTTTCTCCCAGTCTGGATTACCTTTTCATTCTTTTAATAGTGTCTTTTTAAGAACAAATGTTTTTAATTTTTTGATAAAGTCCAGTTTCTTCTTCTTCTTCTTTTTAATGGATTGGGCTTTTGATATTGTTATCTAAAAACTCATCACCAAATCCAAGGTTATGCAGATTTTTTCTGTGTTTCTTTCTAGAAGTCTTACAGTTTTATGTTTTATATTTAGTCCATTTTGAACTGATTTTTGTGTATGTGAATGTTTATTTTTCCATATCCAGATGATACAGCGCCTTTTCTTGAAAAGGATTACCTTCATTGAACTGCTTTTACACATTTATTAAAGATAAGTTGACAAATCTTTGAGACTAAGTAGATTAGGAGTTGCCTGGGGGTAGCAATGAGGATAATGCATGTTTCTGGAGTGATTGAAATGTTTTAAAATTGGGTTGTGATGGTTTTACAATTCTAATTTACAAAGAATCACTGTCTTGTACACTTAAGTGAATGTTATATATAAATCATACTTAAATAAAGCTATGTTCAAAAATCAGTTGATACTTTTTGCGGGTCTATATCTCTATTCTGTTCCATTGATCAGTCTGTCTGTCCTTTCCTCAGTACTGCACTGAAATTGGGTAGTGTGACTCCTCCAACTTTGATCTTTTTTCAGAATTGATTTTTGGTTCCTTTATTTATTTTGCTTCTTATTATAAAGTTTACAATCAGCTTGTCAATATCTGCACAGAAGCTTGCAGGGATTTAAATCAAACTGTATAGAGTCTACAGAACAAATGTGGAGGGAGAATTGACATCTTAACAGAGATCTCCATTTATTTATTTTTCTGATAACTACTGTCACTGTTTCGTAGATTTTAGTGTAAAAATCCTCATCTTTTGTTAGATTTCTACTTAAATACTTTATTTTTATGTGCTATGGGATGGATTTTTTAAAATTTCTTTTTAAATATTTTTTAGATTGTTTTTTGAGATAGAGTCTCTGTCACCTTGGCTACAGTGCTGTGACATCATAGCTCACAGAAACCTCAAACTCAAGCAATCCTCCTGCCTCAGCCTCCCGAGTAGCTGGGACTACAGGCAACAGCCACAATGCCTGGCTAGTTTTTAGAGATGAGGTCTTGCTCTAGCTCAGACTGTTCTCAAACTCCTGAGCTCAAGCAATCCATCCACCCGCCTTGGCCTCCTGGAGTGCTAGGATTACAGGTGTGAGCTACTGCCCCTGGCCTCTTAATTTTTTTTTTTATTTCATAGTAAAATAGTTCATTGTTTGTATGTAGGAGTATGATTAACTTGCGCGTATTTTGATCTTGCTAAACTCATTGTAGTGAGGTTTTTTGTAGAATCTTAGAGATTTTCCACTGAGATATTAAGTCATTTGTGAATAAAGACATGTTTCTTTCCCAATCTGTACGCCTTTTACTTCTTTTCCTTGCCCTTTTTCTCTGGCTAGGATTACCAGTACAATATTGAGTGGAAGTGGCAACAGACCTCTCCATTAAGTATGGTGTTAGCCATAAATCTTTTAATAGAGGACATTTAGGTTATGGAAGTCCTTTTATTTCAAGTTTGGTAAGTTTTTGTCAGGAATGGATGATGGTTTTTATTCACTGTATTCAATGAAATAATCTTTTTTAAAAATTTAGATTATTACTGTAGCGAGTTTCATTGGTTATTTTTTTAAGAATTGAAATCAGCCTTGAATTCCTGATATGAACCCTACTCAGTTATGATGGATTATCTTTTATAAATTGCTTGATTTGATTTATTAACATTGAGGATTTTTTTTTGTATTTCTGACAGAGATTGCAATGTCTTTGGTTTTGGTACTAAGGCAATTCTGACCTGATAAAATGAGTAAGGAAGTGTTTCATTTCTTTTTTCTGGAAAAAACTCTGAAGTACAGGTCTTATTTCTTTCTTAAATATTATTAGAATTGGCTACTGAGACCATCTTTTATTTTTTTCCTTTATTGGAAGGATTTGAGCACAAATTCAATTTCTTTATCAGATGTATTCAGGTTAGCTGTTTCTTCTTGAGTGAGTCATAGTTTGTGTCTTTTAAGGAACTGAGTCCCCGCTAGCTAAACTATTTATGGGCATTTATTGTTCATAGAATTCCCTTACTGTCTTTTAAGTCTGTGAACCAGAGTAAGAAAGAAGATGAAG